AATCGTAGCATCGTTTAGGTGTAATTTACCTTAACCAAAATAAATCAATTAATTTTTTTCGATGTTTTTGAAAATTATAGTTTTCGAAATATGCGACGTTTCTTTTGCGGTTCAGTATATATATAGTAATCAATTTCCCATCTCAAAATTCACTACTTTACTACGAGTAAATACCAATAAAATACTGAAACACACTTTAAACAACAAAACGTATGTTTCGTGTAAATTATCAAATAATTGTAAAAATACTCGGTGGAGTTAAAAACTCAAATTATCTGGCTATCAAATAAACGCAGACTAATATTGTAATTTATTATCGTAGTAACCAATAACTCCGGTAGGATACAGTTATAACGAAATGTTTAATGAAATTTCGTGATTTTTTACTAACTCTTGCTGAGTAAAACTTATATTTTTTGCGCTTTTACTTTTCCTAATTAAAACAAAATTCCGAATATGACACATTTTCTGAACTTAAACTACATTTCTTACGTTATCAATGTTTTTATTTTATACATAAGCTTCCGACTTTATGATAGCATGTTACATAAAGATTTATTTTTAATAATAAATGTTACTTCTGCAGCAAACATGTATTTGCCATAATGCTACATTTTTTACATTGTTCTATTTTTACCCAAAAGAAATCTACGTTTATGTGTATTTCAAAAATTTTATTCTGCTGTAAACTTACTGCGTTCATTCGAATAACTAATTTTCTTATAATGTTAATAACTACGAAATTTAAAGATGTTATGTTTTAACTAAATGTCGTAAATGAGGAAATTAAGTGTCATAAGTTGGAGAACATCAAACATACCACTAGCATAAGACATGATACTTACTTCATTAATTAGAATTATATTAGTTAGACAAAGAAAATATTCACATTTATTTAATCGTCTTTTTCTTTTCTTTAGTTTGGCGCATGTATCAGACCCTCAATTGTAAGTACATACTTTTTATTTAGATATTTTGTATTGTTTGGTATAAGGAGTTTTGGCGTGAGATAATAATACTATTTGACGCCTAGCAATGTTCTGTCTGTCCAGATACGTGACGTCTCGAAATTTTCTAGTCTTGATGAAAAACGAATTGCTGAGTTTGTTAGCTATTCAGACAATGAGACAGTTATTCTCTGCGTTAGATACCTAGTCAGTCAGAAAATAAAACAGTTATTCTCTGAGTTAGATATTTAATCAGACAATGAGATAGTTATTCTCTGAGTTAGATACTTAGTCAGTCTGACAAATAGACAGTTATTCTCTGTGTTATATACTTAGTCAGTGTGTGTGTGTGTTTATAGCAAAGCCACATCTACTATCTGCTGTGTCCACCAAACATTGTAAATATAAAGACTTACCGCTGTCCCACCAGGGGACTGTTTAGTCAGTCACACAATGAGACAAGTATTCCCTCAGTTGGATACTTAGTTAAACAAACAATGAGATAGTTATTCTCTGAGTTAGATACTTAGTCAGACAACGAGACAGTTATTCTATGAGTTAGGTACTAAATTAGTCAGACAATAAGACAGTTATTATCTGAGTTAGGTACTTAGTCATTCAGTCATTTAGTAAGTTCAATTCTGTATTTTCTAGTTTGTACCAATTCAAATTTATATTTATTTCGGTTTTCGATATCTGCAGCGGGTAGAGCGCAAACAACCCTTTATTTTTGAGTTAGGCCTATCTCCGATTGTAATCTGTAGTTCATTATTGAAGAAATACATAACATATAACTGGACTTGACTTTGTGTTACATATATCGAATAACAAAAAGAACCTGGACAATAATAGAAACCGCTTCGAAACCATTATTTATACTGCATATTGGGTGCTTTATACTGTTGAACAATGGTATCTGTGAATTTTTGTCTACAAATGTTCAGTATCTTCTGTAAATAAAAGTGGAAGTTTTTATACCGTCTATAAAAGAATGCAAAGAAGTTTCAGCAGTATTAAATTCTTAAGTCTTTTGTACATAATGGTCGCAAGTCAGGAATTTGTGTATTAAAGAATGTTTAAATTATGTAATGAAGGTAAATAATTTCAGTCTGGTTGCAAGGCCATGTTTATTACTTTAAAGTAAGGTTTGTTGGTTCAGCATGTTTTGTACGTCTTGAGACAGACGACTCTGTTTCTTTAAACTGAAGTGTAATCTAGTTCAGTAAACGATCTTATTAGAATAATGTGTAAACTAGTATAACGTTTTAAAATAAAATAATGTTGCATTTACTGAAAAAATGTTTCAGTAAATCGGCACGTCTTAGAAGAAAATGTCTTATCTTTAAAGTATAAATGTTTTTGTGATCTGAGCTTTTCAGTTGAAATTAAACTCAAAATTATCTCAATAAGAAATAATTTCTGTAATATATTACTTATTTAAACTTATTTATATCATCACAAATCGAAGTAAAATAACTAAATAAAACAAAATAGGATTTAATAACTATTTTCTGTGAAGACAAAAACTTTCTCTTGAAACAGATCATCTGTATATTTTCAGGATTTAATAGAGGAAGAGCTGAGGAAAATTGACGAAGAGTGTATACGTCAAGTGGAGGCTTAGGTACTTTTAATCTTTAAGCAAACTGATCGTATAACGCATAACGCGATATGACTAACATAGTTTGGTACCTGTCAACGCAAACTTTTCAATTTTGCCACGTTTGCTATATCATGTTTTTAAATCGAGTTTCATAGATAAAGCGTTAAAAGTTTGTACCTAACTATATATAATAAAATAGGACTAATTATCCACTTCAAATGAATTAAGAAAGCCGACAAGTAATCGGCAAGTTTACAACGTGCTAAGATACAGATTTTTACTCCCCACAATGGACAGATAGCCTATTGTGTAGTTTTACGCTACAACAAACAAACAGGCTAAAACAAATGGCTTACCGTTAATGATCCTTAATTTTTCACGTTTCTCAAATCATTTTCTTCTTTTACGGGACTTTTTAGTTAAACGATATAGCTTTGTTTATGTGGAATTAACACAAACATTTCAAACAGGCCTAATCAGTACGAGATTGTTTTAAAGACACGGAACACACACATTTTTAAAGCGAAGTATATCCAAAATTCACTTTTATTAAAATATTTTTTGCATCGTTGTTTACGCTAATTTTTGAATTAAGTGGAAAGACAATTACTCTGTTTTTAGCGAAATTTTGTTGTACTGTTGTAGCTTTGTTTGATAATTTTGTATTATTTTTCGGTAGTTGTATCAAAGTAAAGGATTAGAGACGTATTAGATATAGAACAAGATAAACGTTCATAGTGTCGACCTGCGAAGATGTTACACTGTATCAACGAAAGCTAACAAGTCTGACGTTCTATTAGGCTTACTTTTATATATTTTTACTACAAAATTCCTATGCTGATACTAATTTATTCAAAAGTCAAGCCCATTGCGATGAAAATAAAATAATAGTTTAAAATATATTTATACATCTCATGAATATAAAATCCAAAAAGAGCTGAACATATATATAGTTGCTAGTACTGACCACGTAAGGGAGGCTGTCAAGATATTTTGGTATATGAAATTTGGTATTTTAGATTTAATAAATGTCAGCTTATAAAAAGGTTAGGCATTAGACATTAATTTTAAATATTACGGCCATTAGATTTATCTAGTCCACAATAGTACAAATATTTAACTAAGTCTTGATTTTGTTTTTCCTATCTAAACTTGAGAGTTTTAGTATTTTATAAACTATGTATCTTTTCTTTTCAGGTGGAGTTACCATGTTTGCTCTATTGAAAGATAAAATCAGAATTTTCTTTGCAATAAACTCTTGACTTGTAAACAATGCATTAAAAATACACGTATTATAACAAACATCTTTGTTTTATTTGACTTTAACACCAGTTATTAATACAACAATGTATTATTCAACACTCATTAGAGATGTATTTCGATTTATAAAACTCGAGTATACAATAATAATTTGTTTTGTTAGTAAACAGTGTAAGAATAAGTAATTTTATTTGTCATTACTAACAGTCTCAAGCATGACAAACAGCCGGGTAATTTGTCATTACTAACAGTTTCAAGCATGACAAACAGCCGG